TTCGAACCTTGAAAAAATGAAAAGAAAAGTCCTAACAAAGACATCCTTACTATTGCACTAAAATATTTGGTGGTTATTACTTTCTTTTTCCTTACAATGAGTAAATGCATATGCAAAGTTATTATTTGAATTTGAAAGCTCAAACTAACTTTAAATCATTTGTGAGGTTAAAGTGGTCGGGATTTTGTTAATTAAATTTTACTCCAACTAATGGAATTACAATATCTCTGTTAAATAGTATATATTTGGTTGATAGAAGTGAAAGAAAATTCCATATAGTTATGTAATTCAATAGATTCTGAGGAGAAGTATAACATATACATTTGAATATAATTAGGTTAGAGGTGCCAACGTTATTTGATGTTCTAACCTTTTGATGCCCTGCACTTAAACTCTCTGTTCATTTATAATATGATATGTGTATATTAATGAATCTTTATTTTATATGGAGTAATAAATCCAAAAAAGCATCCTCTAATTATTGCTTGTATATCATTGAAATACAAACTTTTGCTCTTTTTAAGTTATGAATAAAAAACTCTTAATTTAAGTTGTAGAAATTTTTTAAAAAAGGGCACTTTAACCATTTAACATTGAAAATTCATCTATATATATTAAAAATATTAAATATATTAAAACTATCACATATTAATTAACTGAAAAATAAACAACAAAAACTTCGAATCGAAAGAAATCCAAAAACTAAGAAAAAGCCTAAAAAACAAAACCAAAATGGATCGAAAGGAACATTCCCTCTCTTTCTATCTCTTCCTATCACTTGTCTTTCTCTTCTATCTCCGTGGGATACAAAACAAGAGTCCCCGACTCTCTAAATTAGCAACAATTATCATTAAACCTGTCATTAAATTAAATTAATGTCGTGCGCAAGAACTCGCACACATTACAAAACGGTCCTACAAAACGAAGATTTTTCTCAACTCTCGATTTTGCGACAGTTTCAAATAGGAATGGCACACAATTCCGATTATCTAAATTAGACTAATACTACTAGCTAACACAAGAATCTGAAATAGATTAGTAGTGAGCACACAAATCTCAGCTTCAAATAAAAGAAAATTGATATTTACCCTGATGGGATAAAATCCAATACTCATAAAAAAAAAAAAAAAAAGTGTTCCACTGACTTACCTAGCAAGACCTAACTTGTTTGAGTAGAATTATTGGGATGAATAGAAGTGCTTGCAACTAGAAAAGGGGATACAAAATTATGCAATTTATTGTCTTAAAATCGATGGTATTATCAAATAGACGACTCCAAGAGAAGAAAAAAAATATATGGTGTGTTTGAAACTCGTTTTAAAATAATTTTATTTTTTGTATGAAAATGAAAATAAAAACGTTTTTAATCTCAGACAGAAATCATTTTTAAAAATACATTTGGTAGTTTTATTAAGAGATTGTTTTCAGCATAAAAAAATTCATTAATACCTCTCTCTCTTTCTCTCTGCTCGAGAGATGAGAAAACGAAAACAAAAAATAAAAAACGATTAAAAATCCTTTTTTCATTTCTCTCTCATTTTACACTAAACTAAAAAATCGTTTCATTTTCATTTTTTATTTTTATTGCGCCAAACGTCGTTTTAAAAACGTTTTCATTTTTTTTCAAAAAACATAAAAAATAAAAACAAGATTAATTCCAAACATAACCATAGTATCGTGCGCTTGAAGCGGAGGCCGATCGATTGCAACCTCATGGCACACACAGCGTGGGAACAGAAAGGCAAAGAAAGAAAGAAAGAAGGAGGGCAAAAAAAAAAAGAAAAGAAAAAAGAACAAAAAAAAAAAAAGAGGAACAGGAAAAATAATTGCATAGTGGAACGTGATGTTGAGTGATGCAGAGAGCCACTTGATAGAAACTCCCACCAACTAGACCACGCTTACCGACTCTCATGCAACTGGCTAAATAGCAATAGTTTTCATATAACAAGGCTTTACATTTGTATATAAACTGAAATACATATATTAATTAAATTACAAAATAAAACAGATCAATGAATCCTCTCCTTAGATCTGTCATGTAGCAGAAGTTTAATTAAAAAAAATGAAAAAATAAAATAAAAGGGATAAATCAATTAAGCTTTTGATTCACATAGAACATCTGAGAAATCGCTTCAAAAAATTCATTGATTCAAACAAAATATTAAAACTTGGCATCAACGTTACTTGATTCACAAATAATACCAAAAATTAGAAAAATAAAAAGTGTAAACAATCAAATTTCATTCTTAGAAATTCTTCTCTCTTGCATATGGTAGGACTAACATATTTAAAAACTAAACTGCCTCAAATAGTAACTAGAAACTACTAATAAAAAATAGAAAAATAAATAATTTTAAAACTTAAAAATAAAAAGGAAACTAACTTATATTTGACTCAAAAATTAAGTCAAAATAAAACTTGATTTTCTTAGACCGAAGTATTAACAAAATGAAACTTTTTTAATTATAAAAATGATAATTTAATTAATTAAAATATTCTAAAAATAGAATTTAACTTTTATTCCACAATAATTTGTCTTCGAACCAAAAGTATTAATTTCCTTCTCCCGGGCTGCATTTAATATGCCTCTTATCATAGTTTGAGTCTTTCAATAACTCAAATACATGTGTTCCAAAACATAGAAAAAAATAAAATAAAATAATCACAAAAATCAATACATAAAAGCTAATAAAAACACCAAAAGCCAAACCCAAGTAGCTATTTTTTGTACGACACTTAAACTTATGACCAAAAAAAAAAAATAAACAAACCCTTTCTCAGTAACCAAGCAACGAATTCATAGCAAAGAAACATAACCGATCAAAGGAGCCCTAATGTCCAAACCCAGATAGCATTGCCGAGATTGGATGATGATTCAGGCCTTGGATATAGGCTCCCCACCACGAGATTGCACCTCCAAGCTGAAGGGGCGTTGATTGGCTAGATCATGGCCGTTGATACTCGAGACCCACTCACCTGATTGCATTGTTGCCGCTCGCTACTCGCTAGCCCACCCACACCCTTCTCATTGACTCCTTAGCAGAACGAAAAGAGAGCGGAGAGAGCCTTGAAGAGACACAGCTTAATTTGGGAGCAAAATGTATAGAGAGAGAACTCAGGAAGAGAGTTTTTTTTTTTTTTTTTTTTTTTTTTTTTTTTTTTTTTTTTTTTTTTTTTAAAAAAAAATTTTTTTTTTTTTTATTGGGGGT